TCAAAGTTGCTAGTAAAACGTAGCTTAGTCTCACATAAGAATCAATAACGCAGGTGACCCAGTTCCCACTTAGGCACGGCAAAGATAAAATACACGGTATTACTGCTGGTCTGTCACTCTCAGTAACTGCAGTCAAAGCACCTGGAATAATCCTGCTTGGAAGTATAGGTTATTTTACTACTATTATTTTTATGCTTTTTTCTTTCCCTCTACTGGTCAATTGTTACTTAATCTGTGAATAAAATCAACATTAAGTCACTGCCCCCTAACCCATTGATTGTACTGGAGATGCAGCCAGCATGATTGGTCAGACCTCTATTGATCCTCTATTGCCATATCTCTTGTAAAGTATTCGGCTGGGTGGCTGCCATTCGTATGCAAGAACACATGGTGGCAACTATCTTGGTCGCACGAACACAGACAACGGTGTATAGTCACCAAGTGCATCAAACTAAAATCGGACACTCGACCTGGTGAACACCGCTGAACTTCCATCATCGCCTACGTTCGGTTCTTTACATCTTGGAAGGACACTGTTCGGTGGAATTGTTTGAATGGATCGGGTGAAAAATGTTATGTTTTTCTGTACCTGGAGATAATTGAGTTTGTACAGTTCCTGATTCAATTATCTCTCAGACTCAGGGGAGGAGTTTTCTGAATGTAAAAAATTGTAAGTGCTTGCCTTCATTAAACAGACTACTTCTCAGCATTAAGACTCGGCTCATGTGGTGGGGGGAGGGGGGAATGCTGTACTGCTCTTGTACTGCTATACTCTCTGTAGGAGAGGTCTACCCACTGGGAGCTAGGGGCTGGAAGTGCTTATGGAGTCCCGGTGAAGTGTTTATGGTAGCTCGGTGATCACTAGGAAGTATTTTTTTTTCAGTTGGGGTACCAGGCGGTCCGCCACATCTATGCTTTGTGAATCTTCTGCATCCTATTCGGGTGCAAAAGCACACATTTGCATCCAAATGGTAATCCATTGCTGTAGATTTGCTTGACCCAACTGAATTCAGACTGTATTTGGCTTTAGTAAATATAAAAATTGCTATTCCGGCCAGAATTCACACTGGATTTTGTCCAACACAAAATCCAGTGTTTGGTGAATAATCCTGCAAGTTAGACTTGTTTATAAACATGGAAACACCATCTATTGGCTATCAGAGTTACAGCCACTGGAGGTGTGCTTAATCCTGCAAAATATTACTGTATCTCCAAAACGGCAATGTTTTACATATTGGTAGTCCAATGTCAGTGGCACTGCCCCGAGACCACTTCATTGAGTGTCCCTTTAAAATCTCATAGGACTCTAGACGGGTTAATGACTTGTGGCCCCTCTATCATTCTTGGTTATGGGGCTTTGTCTAAGCCATGGACTGCCTAATGTCACTTAATAGTTAACTCTGCCCTTCTCTCAACAGGGTGTAGGGTTTACTCTACAACATAAACATTGCAATCATGCAAAGTTGTTATGGTGCTTAAGTAAAACCTATGAAGTAGTCTTTGTGACAAGAATGCATGAGCACATGTGATCAGTAATGGAGCAAATATGTGGACTCCATTACATAAGCATCCACAGAGCATCCATGACCTGAATGCAAAAGCTATGACTAGTCCATTAAGTTGCAAATTTTGGGAAGAAATGCTGAGTTGTAATAAACAAATGAGAATGTATAACATTTAACATTATAATTTATATGGTTTGTGTGTGGCCCTGAAGGACTGGAGTTTGACTCCCCTGGTGACTAAACTGTCAATTCTGCAGCACTCTTTAGTGTTGCGTGGACATTGCTAGCTCTGCTTATTTGTCTTTGCTGTAGGCAATAAATTATCCCAGCCACTGCTGTTTGCAGTGTATATTATATTGTCAGTCCTGCTATTCCGCCATGTGTGATGTATATTAGTAAGGTATGCAGCAGTTTTCTCCATAGTTTAGCTTTATATTCCTGTAGCTAGTTTGCAAAGCACTGCGTATATACTATATTACTATTGGACACTAATTGCTAATATACCTAATTACATAGCTTCGTTAACTCAGAAGTGTCACCAGGGTGATAAATTAACACTTGTTCAATACACACAAAGTTACACCCCTTCACCCACACACACCTCCTCCTGTCACTCCCCCCACCACCTCCACCCCCCCGCAATCTGTGTTTATCACGTTTTATTTTCTGTGTATCTGTGTTCTTCACATTTTATTTTTCTCTCCATTCCATTTTCTCCTCAATTCATTCTTTTTCCTCCCATGCTCCCTCACTGTCTTAGTTTGTTTCGCTCACTTTTTTTCTTTTTTTCCTCCCTCCCACTGTTGTGCCCCTCACTGACAAATTAACCCCCTGAGTGCCTCTACAGTACTTATAGCTGGCAGGAATTCCCTCCCAGAAACCCACTCACACTAATTATATATAATTAAAATCCCACACATTATCTTGGACCACAGAAAAAAAGCCACAAAGTAACCATTTTGGTGTAAGAAAGAAAAGAAATTTAGATCAACCCTGTTATTTTCTGTGATCTCGTTATAGTATTTCGTGTGTACTGTAGTTATTCTGCAGACTATTTTTTTTATTGATATCAGTGTTCTAGTGATCAACAAATTATGCACTCTTATGCTATAGATACATTTGAATTCATAGATGCTAGACAAGCGCTGCAGGGCAATTCTCAAGGTAGATATTTTTATGGAATAATGTACAATTTAGCAGTGCATTTCAATATTACCTTTTAATGTTGCTCTGAACATCACTTATAGTTTTGTATAACATAATTTCCTCTAGACTTCAACAAGCTGTTCCTTTTAGTTTTTTTTTTTTTTTTAAATCAATCTCAAACACTGCAGAGCATCATTTCTTCTTAGAATTCTGCACAACATTGCACCTGCTGTGGGTGCAACATCTGGGTAAGGTTTTCCACAGCTGCTAGCATCTCCATGGAAACTCAGATACAGAGACAGGCTTAGGGGGGAGGTGATGGGGATGTACGGGGTGTAATTAAATGCAAAAGTGCTCCCAAAAGATGCTGAGTGTAATGATCCTATTGAAAAAAATGTGAGTCATTGGGAGAGAGAGAAATAAACACTGTGAGATAGAAAATGGAATGGAGAGGGAAAAAAAAGCAAAAGAGATAGAGGAAGGAGATGTGTCTGTTTTCTCTCTTTTTATTGTATGATTCTTCGTCTTGTCCCATACACATCCCCTTTTCTTCACTTGACCCATTTTAGTCTTTATTATTCTCTATACTTTAATTTTCATTCATTCTTACTTCGACACTTCTCTTTTTTCCCCCAGTCGGGACATAACAGAATCATGCAACTTTCAATGTGGAGAGTTGTATATCATAATAAAAATACAAGCTAAATGCTATGAAATTAATAATTTATCAAACAGAATTTACCTTTGGGGGGGGTAAAAAACATATTAAGGAAGTGGAGAAAATATAAAACCTTTTGTGATGAATATGGTCCATGGGACTGCTACTAGAGAATCCACCTACGGAAGATCCAAAATTACTCATAATCTTGCCAATTTAGTGCAATCCCAATTGCTACAACAACAAAAAAAACATAGCACCCAAGTGAATTGAGTTGCTGATTGCATGTATGTACGTAGCAGGGAAGGTGGTGCGACTAAAAGAAATAGACTACCCCACTTATCCCCCCAATAATGACAGACAATGCATATTGGATGAAACAGACCACGGCATTTATTTATTTTAAACTTACAACTGTAGGACACTTCCGAACTTTATTCTTTTCCTTTAATTCAAATATAAATAAACACATAAGTATATATACATACCATAATTAATATATAAATTAACACTTTTTGCCCTACAGCCTTCAACTTAAATAACCGTCCTTGCCAACGAACTTAACCAGGTGCCTATGCACCAAAAACTTTACCCACTGTCTCGCCTCCCCCCTCGTCCAAACCAAATTCCCATCATCTTAAATGCTCTAACCACCAGCCGGCTCTTAGCTCGGTGGGCATGTCCAATTCGGTAACTTGAAAGTTTACCTTACAGAGCAGGGGAGGTTGAGACCCACCTTGTCCATCTCCTGACATTCCATCTGCTCCCCAACCCTGTTGGCAAGGACATGCTCCCGCTAGCTGTGACAAAACAAAAAACATAAATTAGGGGGGTGGGAGGGAAGTTGTTTGCTGACCAGAATCCAAACAGGCACTGAGGTAAGATGATCCCTGCCCCACTACAAACACATAACCACTCCCCTAAACACATACAGCCAATCACTAGCACCATCCCCACACTCATACGTGTGCCCTTGTCCGTTTAGCTGTGCTGACTACCCAGGGCCTGAATGTGTTGCCACAATGTTAAACAAATGGATGACTATTGTACAGTTCAGGAATATTATAAATAAAGTATGTATGAATGTTTAAATGAGAGAAGCAGATATAATTTACTTATACTATGCGCTCACTGCTATGGAGAGCAATAAAATAAAGAGGAGAAATTGGGGAAGTAAAAGCCAAAAAGCCAAATAACCGATTTGATTTTAATCATTCTAAAAAGATGTCTAAAAGACAATACCATTATAATGTAAAATATATTTAGTCTCAGTGTAAGGGCTTTTATCGAAGAGAGACAAAGAGAGAGGATTGAGTGTGTTTGTGTGTATTACCAGTACCTGGCAGGAAATTAACATATTCAAAACTAATATGCATTCATTCAGAGACCTGTTCAGGAAGAAATTATAAAAAACACCAATACCAGAGTCAAACCCATCAAAAGGCTACCAACTAGAGTAATCAGTACTTTGCTAGTGACCTTCCCAGGAGCATTGGATCATTTTGATAAACCCCGTTTTTATTAATATCGCGGCCCGGCGGCACACTCCGAGGGGGTTATACTTACCTTGCGGCCGGCGGCCCCATCTCCTGTGCTGTATAACTGTGCTGTATATGCGGTCCGGCGGCACACTCACTGATACTGACAGTAGTACAGCTGCCAGCACAGGAGGGCTGAGGGAGGGGGCACATCTAACTGCCATGCTCCCTCGGGGTTCCCATAATTCCCAGCACAGTGATTACTCTATGATGTGTAGATGCTGGGAATTATGGGAACCGCGAGGGAGCATGGTAGTTAGCTCTGCCCCCTCCCTCAGTCCTCCTGTGACACGGTCAGCAGGGACACAGAAACAGAGGGGTAGTAGAAACTCAGGGGAAGGTGGGGACAAATAGAGGGGTAATAGAGAGACACAGGGGATGGGGGACAAAGAGAGGGGTAATGGAGAGACACAGGGGAAGGGGGACAAAGAGAGGGGTAATAGAGAGACACGGGGTAGTGGGGACAAAGAGAGGGGTAATGGAGATACACAGGGGAAAGGGGGACAAAGAGAGGGGTAATGGAGAAACACAGGGGATGGGG